GCCTCGTTTGGCAACAGGCCGGTTTAGCCAAAAAGTCAAAAAGTTACTAAAAAAGTCGAAAAGCCAACAACTCATACCAAAAAGTCAAAGATTCTCTTTTCTCTCTACTTTTTGCACATCTTTTTGTAAAAAGTCAAAAAGTCATCCCAAACATACTAGTTTTTTTTAACTCATATTTTAGCCAAATAGCCAAAAAGTTACTAAATTAACCTGTTCCCAAACGATGCCTTAGTCTCAGAAATTCTGAACCTTTGCATTCTAGGCATCGGCCATTCGAACTCTAGTTTTCACCATCTCAGTTGATCTCCTAGGAACTCACCGCAAACACAGACAGGTGCTATACCAGACCACTGGAAGTTGTTCGGGTACGACAAACATCAAAGGAATTGCACCTGTAGAGGATTTAAGGTCTCCTAGACCAGATGAATGCACAAGACAGTGCGATGCACACGATAGCGCGATTGAATTGCAATGCACAAGACAGTGCGAATGATATAAAAAAAAAATAATGTGCACAAGACAGTGGCGATGCAAGTGAATGCACGAAACAGATATGAATGCACAAGACAGTGCAATATGCAAGGTACACAAAACAATGAGATATAAGGTGCACAAGATAGTGCGATACATAAGAAAGCGCGAGTGTAATGCACAAAAAAGTGCGAATACGTCTAAAGCGCCTCACGTGAGTAGAGAAATAGTGAATAAATGCGCAAGAAAACGCGAGTGTAAAGTGCACAAGAAAGTTTGATGCACAAAAAAGTGCGATACGCAAGAAAGCGCGAGTGTAAACTGCACAAAAAAAAGTGCGAAGCGCAAGAAAGCGCGAGTGTAAACTGCACAAAAAAGTGCGATATACAGGAAAACGCGAGTGTAAATTGCACAAAAAAGTGCGACACGCAGGAAAACGCGAGTGTAAATGCAGGATTTTAAGGTCTTCTAGACCAAAGAATGCACAAGACAGTGCGAGTGAGACACAACCACAAGGCGTACAAGACAGTGCGAGTGATACACAACCACAAGGTGCACAAGACAGTGCGCGTGATATGGAATTGTGAAATAGATGCACTGAGTGAGATTATTGTGTGATAGATGCATGATATTAATTGAAAGCATTTCTATGCATGACCAAGCGTATTCCATGCAAGAAGAAAAGCATATTCTATGCAACACTGAAAGCATATTCTATGCAATATTGAAAGCATATTCTATGCAAGAATCATAAACGATGCGCGGCACGCATGCAATAGAAGTGTCTATGAAAGTGCAACTTCTATCCAATAGAAGAGAATCAAATATGTACTTTGATGCCTCCAATTTACCTCTCGAAGGACTTCACAAAGGATATATCCTGTTCATATTGGCGAGGGGCAACTTTGCATATGAAAACCATAGGTGCTGCTTGAACTGTAATTCTGACTTGAAGCAGGCTTAAACTTGGGTCGAGATACGCTCATACTCCAGTGAAAGGCGAGGCCTGAGAAGGTGCACCTGGAATGCAGTCTCGGAATTTGCTGAAGTCGAAATACACTCAGATGCTCAAAATTTTCCCTCTTTTTCTTTCTTTTACTTTGCAGTCCGGAACCTATGTAGCTTCAGATAGGTCCTGGTTTTATTGTTCTCACATGACTTGGGTTGAACTTTGCATTTTATGAAAGAACAAATCTTGTTTTGCACAAATGGAGAATAGCATAACACTCCGGGCACAAAACGATTTTTTTTTTGAAATTGAGAGTGAGAATGAGTTCTTAATCGAGTATTGAGCCTACGACTGACCATAGTCAAAACGACTCAACAAAGGAAAAACAAAGGTAAAACAACCTAAACACATCTATTGACACTCGAAACGACTCAAAACAAGAATCGAGACAAACAAAAATAACAAACACAACACTCGAATATGTTCCAATGGTAAAGACCTCTCAGTTCACGGGACCTTGTTTCTTCAGGTATTGTTTCCCACCCTTTTTTATTTGTGATTCTCACATCACTCTAGCACTCAATCTCTTTTTCTCTAAAAAGCCCTTTTCTCACTTTTTCTCTTTAGCGCACATCTCTCTTTCTTCAACTCTTTTATTTTTCAAGGAAAAAACATGGCGAGAAACATAGAGACGTTGAGTTGTGGTATCATAACAGCGATAACCCTTTTGATCATCACCATGCCCAAGAAAAACACACATGGTAGAATGAGCAGACAACTTAGTACGAGCTGCACGATGAAAAAGGACGAAACGAGTACAACCAAAAACACGAAGAGAGAATAGTCAGGAGGAGGATACCATGTAAACGTTTAATGGGGAAATGCCACAAGTCACTTGGAAGGTATGCGTTAATAATATGAACAGCCGTAAGAAGAGCCTCCCCCAAAATGAGCTAGGAATAGAAGAAGAAATCAACAAAGATCGAGCTGTTTCCATGATATGACGGTGCTTGCGTTCAGCCACACCATTTTGCTCAAGAGTTTTAGCACAAGAAGATTGTTGAAGAGTACTATCTGATTGTAATAAGTGAATAAAATCACTATCACGATATTCCCCACCTAAATCACATCGAAAACATTTAATAACAGAAGAGTATTAGGTTCGAATCATGGCATGAAAGGCGATATAGATATAGAAAAATTTAGATCGCTACTTCATCAAATAAATCCAACAGTGACAGGTATAATTGTAACAACCCGACCTATGATTAGCCGACTAACCATGATCATTATGCCTCATGTGTAAGTAGGATAAAATTCTGAATAATTGCATGTGTGTTACATTATTTGTATTTTTATTTGTTTGTTGTAGGAATACGTGTTTGAGATTCTGTTATAATTTGCGAATTGAAGGCCTTATTAGCATTCGATCACAAAATTGACTGGTATATGTGTTATGTGGAATTTATAGAATTTTTTGGTAGGTTAATTAAAATTCGATTCGAAACGATTAAATTAGAATAATTAATGTCAATATGATTAACTAAGTCAAGTTTAATTAAGCATCCTTAATTGAGCCTATATAAGGCTACTTTGACTTCCTAGTTTATTTTTACACCTTTATTTCATACTCCTAAGCTCAAAAACGTGAGAGAAAGAGAGGAATTAGAGGGTGAGAGTTGATTTCAAGAAGGAAATGTTGGAATTGCAAAGCAATTAAGGGTAATTAGAGAATTGAGTTAGGACTCACCAAGAATTCAAAGAACTGAGGACTTTAGTTAAGACTTTCATTCCTTAAGATTTTATTTTGACTCACTTTTACAAGAATTCAAGAGAATTCATTGAATTATGTGTAAGGGAATTGACTAGTGAGGTAGGAAAGAACACATCATGCATGCATGCACATTCTTCCATTTGAGCTTAATTGCTAAGATTTCTCACATACATCACCAAGCCTATCATAGTTTGAGAATTTATTACTGTTTTCCATCAATTTGCCTACTTTGCATCATATTTTAGAAATCTCTCTCCCCGTGTGCACGCATTTCGAGGCACTTCATTTTCATCCATCGGTCTCTTATGTGAGTGCGGCTGAGACTCAATTGGTATCCATTTCTGCTTCTGAATCCTGGACTTTTTGTTCCTATATACAAATTTTTGTTTTTGTTTTTTTTTTGAGCTATGTTGTTGATTGCATTCAAAACGAGCAATGAAGCCAATATATGTTCCTCATCTCATTGAGGGATGTAAATGTGGATACAGGGCAGGTGCTCTTGCTCCCAAATGGTTTTATAGCATCATGTAATGATTGTGCTTTATGTTTCAAGGCTTTGTGATGTGATTCCAAGGGTTGCCACACTGATCTGAATGGTTCATATGACAGGCTATAATGCTTGTATCACTTTATGAACTTGTACTTTCTTGAGTGCTCGACTTTCAATATGATAAAGAATTTCTCTTTTTGTAGTAAAGTGGAGATACATTTCTCAATATGAACTTGTACTTTCAATATGAAATTTATATAGATAGATGCATTTATATGTTGCTACATTTATTACTCTCTGTTTGAATTGTTTGGATTGGGGAATGAGAAAATAAAAGAAATGATTGAACTTTCTGTTTTATGTGCTTTGGTGCTTTTGTTTTGATGAATACGAAAGGAGTATGTGATATATTTATTTTTTTCTTTATATTTTGGTGGGTAATCTTTTGTATTAATACATAATCAATCAGTTTATTTTTCACCCAATTTCGCTGTTTTTGGTGATAAATGAAATCCATAATTGATCATTTTCTCTCTATTTTTCATGACAGAAGAGTTTTTGTTTTTGTTTGTTTGTTTCTTATCAATTTCTCAACAAATCAATCAATTCAAACAAAGACTGTTAATGGGAATATCTATTTCTCTCTCCTCTCTGTCTTACTCTCTCCTCTGATTTGTAAAAGTAAGTCAAGTTCTAAATACTGTATGGTGTTTGATGTGGGTGTGTAGGGACAGGGCAAAACCCACAAAATACACAAAGGACAGTCGCTATTGTGGTGGGAGGAGTGGCTGGGTTTGGGCTTGGAATTGCCTGTTTGTTGTTTCTAAAATCAGCTTTTAAGAAGCGAGAAAACAAGTATGGAGGATGATGATGAGGTTAGTTTCCAACCTTCTACTACTCTGTTTTCTGCTTTTTTTTCTCTGTTTCTTTAATTTTCAAAATGAAAATATTCCTCTTGCTATGAAGAATTTATTAAATTTTTTGTTTACAGTTTGGTATTTTGTGTGTGTGTGTGTGTGTAGGACTACAAATAATCAGATTTCAAAATCCTGCTTTTGGACTCCCACATACTATTATTTTGTTTGTTGCCCACTGATACTATATTTCTTGACAGATTGATCGCATTGCTCGTGTTGCATTTGAGACTATTCGGAAGCGGGGTACGAAACTCTATTCTGTTGATAAAGCAAATGATTATAGGTATTCAAAATGTATTATGTAGAAATGAATCCAATTTGACTGTCTTAAAGAAGTTTCTTGTCATTAAAAAGAATATATATATATACATATATATATAAAGAAATATCAATGTAGAGAGGGGCAATAGTGTAGTGTACAAGAAACTATGACAGGGAACCTGCAGGTAGATGCTGCTAGTATCAAACAGTGCATAGAATGCCCTTGATTTGAGTCTAAATTTCTGCCCTTTGTTCTTCTTGATGAGATATTTGAGGAAAATGATAGGAAAAATAGAGTTTGAATGCTACATTCTTTCCACACAAAAAAAGAAAAAATAAATAAAAATAAGAAGATTATTTGGCTGAATGGTTGTAATAGGTTCAGTTGAGTAGAGGTTATACTTGTATTATTGTCCTTGTGTATGCCAATTAGTTTTGTTGCTGAAATAACTCTCTTCTCTGTTTACTATATCTTTTACAGTCTTTGTTTCCGTATCTTTCTTTCTTTCTTTATGCATTGTGCAGTTATTTATATACATGTCTGTCTATACGTGTGTACGTACCTTTATATAATGATGTATCACTGTTGTACTTTCTATAGCTTTTAAAGATTGTGCCTAATTGCTTGTAACACATACGTAACATTTTTATATTTGTCTACTGTTGCTCTTCTGACTAGCCATTTCCTTTTTGAAAAATACCATCATGCTAGAATATTTACTGAAGCAATGACAAATCCATATTGACCTCATTTTTCTTTTTGAATGATTATGATTGTTTTCTCATATGGCTCCCTGAACTTGATTTCCCCTCTTCTGCTTACAGACCCATGATAAAACTTCCAGCTACATTGGTCTGGTATACTGTTTTGCTTGTTAAATGGATGCATGCAAAAATGGCCTCCACAAAGCTTAACAGTTCTGCACCATTGCATGGTGTTCGATTAGCATTGCGCACAAGTACGCTTAACTGCTCTGCAACTCAAAAACATATTGGATACTCACCAGTTGTCTCCTTGGAAGTAAGTTTCTTAGTTGGGTAGTTCAAGATTATCTAACCCTGCTCTCCGTAATAACAATGATGTTGCTCAAGCTCCATAAGAGATTGGAATTCAAATCTAAGCCGTTGCATATTTTTTTGACTTCGGAGCTAAAATCAACCCTTCCCAAATAGTGTAGTTTACTTAGAATTTTTCATATCTCACCGGTTGGAGTAAATATCTAAACATTGATTTTTGGTGAACGTTGACAAGTGCTTTCTATACATTGTTTATTAACAAGTGCTTTCTATACCTTGTTTATTATTGAGATTATTGTAAAAAGTGTTTTTAAAATGGTAAAAAAGTTCTGAAATATTTTAAAGGAGTGAAAAGTGTTATGAAATTATTAGTAAAAAGGATATTGCGTTTTAAATTGTTTGCCTATTTATTTTTTCTTATTTTTATTTATTTTTTCCTTAGAACATTTGTTAACAGAACCCATGATTTTTTAGAACACAAGATTCTCCATGCCCAAATCATTCTACCACATGCATTTCTAGCTATATAAAATTTATGTCTCGAGATTTTTATCAAATCATTTTGACATATATATGACTAAACATCTTTGTAGTTGTTGAGGTATAGTGGATGTAGTTGGCATTAATTACTCGACCACATATCTAACTTAAATTAAATTTGACTAAAGATATTTTTGTTATATATATTTGTGACCTGTTGCTTTAATTTCTATGAATATGTAAGCGATGGGGTAGCTATCTCTGTTTGTCGTGTCGCTTTTTAATTTTTATTTTATCATAATCAAACCTTAGCTCCACATATATATATTTGCTGCTGTTCATGGCTCCACCCATAGACACATCAGAGCTTCTTTGCTTTCTCTCCTATGCCCCTCCATCATCAGGTCCCAACTCTTGCCCAAACTTGATGACTTCATGAGGTGCCACCTCAGCAATTGGGACAACACACTCATTGACATTCAACAAAAAACCAAAGAGGTGTTTGATTTAGTCATTTTCTTTTTCTTTTTTCACAATGTTGAACTGTTTTTAAGGTACTTGTGTTGCACATTGTTTGTTGTTCAGATGGCATTTTTGTCGTCGCTTAACCAAATTGCAAGTATTGAATGGGAGTCAATGTCTAGGGAATTCATGCCTGAATTCTTTAAGCTGGTGTTGGGAACCCTTTCTCTGCCTATCAACTTTCCCGGAACAAATTACCACCGCGGTTTCCAAGTAAACAACTTATTTCTTAAGTACATGTTGCTTTTAAGTCAAGTAAACTAATGATATCTAAAGTATCCGATATGTTACAGTTTAATCATCAATTTTTAAAATTTGTGCTTTAGTCTAAATTAATAACGAGAGGAGGGATATTTGGCTCTCAGTTGGTTCATTTCAAAACAAACCAACAACTAACATGAAGGCGTAAATTTGGAAGCGATGTTTTACAATTTTAAATATTATTGTATGTATGTTTTGTCTAACTGAGATGTGTCACAGGCAAGAAAACATTGTTAGCATGCTGAGACGACTCGTAGAGGAAAGAAGTGCTTGCCAAGAAACCAAACATGACATGCTTGGTCTCCTAATGAATGGGGGTGAAGAAAACAGATATAATCTAACAGATGAAGAGAAAATTGATCAAATGATAGCAATTTTGTATTCTGGATACGAGACTGTTATGTAACCAAGTATTCTTAAATATTAATGGTGTATTTTCACACCCTACTGTTATGTAATATTTGTGGATATGTTATTTTGTGGGTAATGGTGATTGGTGAATGGGAAAGTGAATTAATGATGCATTTGTTATTTGAATGTAACCTATTATTTCATATTAGTGTTATTCAAATTTATTATATTTATTTTTTAGTTTAATCACATAAATTTAGCACAATTTAAAAAAAAAAAAGGAGATATCACGGCGTTTTTTAAAAACGTCGCTTTTTAGATTTTTAAAAAAGATATGACGGCGTTTAAAAAATGTGGCTAAATATCATAATGACGTCATGATATTGTCAAGTAAGACATTTGGCGGCGTTTTTAAAAACGCCGCCTATACTAATATAACGACGTTTTTAAAACGTCATAAAGTTATAGCGACGGCCGCGTCCTCGGCGCTTGGTACTAAGCGTCGCAAAAAGAATTAGCGGCGTTTTTGACACTTATAGCGGCGTTTTTTAAACGCCGCTAAAAGATGAATTTCCTGCAGTGCTTCTAACACCTAGAAATGATTAGCAACTAAGTCAGCTGATAGCTCAGTGAGTAGCAACATGGATAATAAATACAGTTATGAAAACAGGGTTCAATTCCAAAATAAGATATATATCACAGAAAACTAGATTGGCATACAGTTTGGTAAAGAGAATCTGTTTCAAAAAGAAGGTTCCACAATTCAACAGTTAAAATACTCATGTCTCTCAAGAACATGATAAATGGCATTTTTCACTTAAAATAGATTACAACTTGAACACCAATAATTTTCTGGGTACCAAGAAAATAACAAGTAATATGCCACACAGTTCTCAAGGCAATAAGGCCCATTGGATCCAATACCGAACTAAGAGTCATCCTCACGGTGGCAACCTGGGCCTTTTCTCAAAGACGATCTAATTGCAGGTCACCTATCTTAACCTAGGTCTTTTCCTTACAATCGGTGAGTACTAGAGTCATCACGGCCCAACCCGGATATGTTCTTTAGTGGCCAGAGTCACCACACATAGTGGAATAATTTTCCTGGACTAAATACGCAGATGGTCCCAATAATTAATACACATCAGTTTCGTAAAACATGGTAGTTCATCATTATAAACATGAGACCAAAACAAATAGTTCACAGTATGCCAAGGTCACACATCTTTCAGAAATAATTTGATTCCATTGATAATATAAAAATTTATCAAAACAGTTTAGTCATAAAACTACAATTTAATTTTTCAACAGTTCAGGGTAGGGGAACATTTATAAAAATATGTAGCATGAAACTACTCACCTGGAAACGGAATAATGTAATCCTCGAATAGAGTATAAAAGTCCAACTAGTGCCCTAAACCAAGTATGAAAACTACACGTTACTACTAATTTAAAAATACTAAAGAATAGGAACTAAGTAACCTCAAATTAAAGCGCACTAACATGGCTCAACCCAACTCACCATTACTCTTAAATATTACCTAAGTTCATGTTCTTCAAGGTCTAAAATTAACCAAGATATGGGTTCCGATCGAAACTTAACTAAAACTAACTTTAAGATAAAACAGAGTTTTAGACAAGCTTTCCCAATCTATTCACTAACTTTGAAAATTACAAAACGCACTCTACACTGTTCGAAAAATTTCAAAATCCTCCAGATATCAACTAATATATCCTAAGTTTCAAACCCAATTGATTTTACTTGATTTTCTTATCAAAATAATTATTTACAATTAATTATGCCCAAACAGATTGTTTTCTACAGCACTGTAAAGAAATTGACGTTTCTCTTAGTATACATGAGAAATCAATGCAAGGCCAAAAACTTACGAAACTAGACTCGTAACCGGTTCTAATGACGCTGATTTAATAATTTTCAGATTTATACCCAAAGAGAACAACACTCCCGAACTTACTGTTTAAAACTAGTTTTCTGGACAGATTTGAACGCATCAGTTTATATGGATTTTGACATCCAAAAATTATGAAAAAATTTAGATATGCAATTCAATATGTAATTAATCTATTTTAAACATTTCAGTTCAAAATTCATTCGTTTGATATGATTACTTGATTTTTAAAGTTTGTGGTTCTGTACAGAATTTTTAAACTAAGAATTTCTCCCATTTTTTATACATAAATTTAATTCCTCAGGCTTTTTAACACGATATCTATATACAAAATACGTAAACCTACAACCTCTCCATCAATAAACTAAATAATAATAGAGTAAGGATAAAGAACAAAACCAAAAGGAAGAAGAAAGATAAAGACCTACCACACACCCAAAAATTCTTCCTTGTTTGCAACCCTTCTTTTTTCTTCTTCTTTTCTCTCAACCTTTCTCTCTCTCTCTCTCTCTCTCTCTCTCTCCCGTGGTGGCTCCTGCTGCTATGAATACTATTAGGCAACCTAGGGTTACATGTGTATCTACACAAAAAAGCCCTAAAATATTATCTTTTGTTTTAATTTAATTTCTCTCCCCATTAATTTAAATAAAAAACAAATATTATTAGATCAAAATATGCTTACTAATTTGACATTTAATTTAATTTTATTTTATTTTATTTATTTTTTTTAAAATAATAAATCTTGCCTTTAAATTAAAGACTTTCACCATAAATTTATTTTAAGTTTAAAATTAATTAAAAGACCCTCCAAATATTTAATTTGCACTTAAAGATTCACAATAAAATATTTGAGATTTGTAAAATTATTATTATCTAATTATTTGTTTGATTTGTATATTCAGGTTCTCACTCTATCAATCAAAAACGCGCAATTAATCATAACCAAAACATGAAATTGAAGATAACAATATACAAAATTTCAATTAAAATGATCATTAGTTAAGATGAAAATTGAAAATTTCAATCTAAGGTTACCATCAAATCAGAGAGAAATCCAATAAAACAATTGCAAGAGATATTAAAACAAGAAAATTCATTCTATAAATGCAAATAAAAATTAAAAAAAGAAGAAAATGGAAACGAGAGCAACAGCTCACCTTTAGATTATTGAAGATCAATTAATAGAGAGAAGAAGAAGATACATAAAATTTAAATAAAAATTAAAAATTAAAAAAGAAGATGGAATATTTTTGAAGGAATAGATTTTTTCTAAATAAATTTAAAAAATTCTAAATATACATAAAATTTGACAAGAATAATGTGATAATGTTAATTAATGTGTATTTGATTTTGTTGTTGAGCCAAATAAAATAAAATAAGATTGAATGTATATTTGGCTTTGATTGTGAATTTTAAATAAAAAGAAAAAAGAAAAAGAAAAGCTCAAGTTAGGTTGGGGAAAATTCAAACCCATTAGGAGATGGAGAGGGTAGTACCCATGGGGAATGCGGAATGGGGAAAAATAATTATATGGGAATGGAGACGGGAATTAATATCAATCCTATTAACCATCATTGCCATCAGTGTCGCTATTAATCAGGTTCGGATCCATCAGCATCGCTATTAATCAGGTCTGGATCTTTGTCTACCTCCGGCCTATTTTGAGGGGAGGTTACAAAATTATTTATTATTATTATTATTATTATTACCATTGAAGAGGCGATGTGATTAGAGGTATGCGTGGTGCGATTCAAACAGTTTGAGAATAAAATTATAAATTGAATGGTAGATTAATGGATTGGCGGATTGACAAATCGTCGTTTGGACGGTTTTGGGCAGATTGATAGATTGAAAAATATTCTAATCAATTATCAAGCATTTGCATAATATATAATACTAATTTGTATAAAAAATTTCATATATATAACACAAACTAATTTTATATAATATTTTTCATATATATAACCACTAATTTGTAATAAATTTGATATCTTAAATCCCTCTTATACTCATTTTTATTTTAATATTTCATTAGAGGTTTATATATATATATATATATATATATGTGTGTGTGTGTGTGTGTGTGTGTGTATTAAATATAGTGGAGCGGAGTGATTTCGAAGGCGAATTATAAATTTTAAAATTTAATCTGCGGTTAGCGGTTAACCGGTGCATATTGATATTAATCGGTGCGATTTTAACATATTGGATAGTATTTTATACAGCCCTAGATGTGATTCAAAAAAGCTAATAAACTGACTTTTAACCTAGATGCTAATGAGGCCTACAATTATCCACAATGGCTTAGAACTTGTTTGGAATGTGGATAGTTTGTTTTTAATTTCTTTACAGAAAGATGTATAAAAAAAGTAAAATAAGTGATGTGATTAGATATTTTGAACTTTTTGATTATTTTAGTTAAAAAACCAACATCCCAAACATTTCCTTAATACACCCACTGAAATTTTCTCCACACCCATATCCTTTTTTGAGTCCCGTGTTTTTAGGCTGTGTGTAGGATACATTTTATAGATTTGGATAAGAATTTAAAATAAATAAATAAATAAATAAATAAATAAAAATACATTTTACACCCTTTTTAATCAGGCTAAAATAGTTATAAAAAAAAGTCAACTGAAATAGCTAACCTCCCAAACGAGCTCTACACCACTTTTGGCTTTGGTGTGTTTTTTTTTTTATTATTTTTTTTTCTTTTATTATTATCATCAGGAAAGCATATTTATATGTTTCGCTAAAAGTTGCAAAAACAAAATAATTTGTAATGATTTTGAAGGGAAACAATAACCTCCCTAGTTTATAGAATTGTATTCCTCTCCATTGCATATTTAATATTTATAATGGAGAGGTTTTATTATATCATTTAATTAATGATCTTTTTAATTTAAGATAATTATAAATTTATGTTCCTATTTCATATCCATTAAATATGTAATGAAGATCTTCCATTACATACATAGTATTTTTGAAGTTTCCGGTATGTGTTGGATTATTAGTTTAATGTGTATTTTCAATTTGATTTAGTTTGGTATTTAATTTTGTAAGTGGAAGAAGAATTGTGCAAAGAGTTATTGAGTCAAATTTGGACTTGTTTTTCACTCGATATTGGTTTGAATTTGTAAGAGATCTATTTGACTTGATTTGGATCTTCTAAAACTTTGAATTTAGAGTTTCTTAATTATTGTGAATTAGATTGATAGGATACCTATTTTGTTTAGGATTAGTTTTAAGAATGATTATTTGGTTATAAATATGTGAAGACTATTTGTTCAATTAGATTTTTTAGTTCCTTTTTGGAAGGCCTTTGGGTCTTTGGTAGAGCTTTTGAAGTTCCTTGAGGTCTCGTTTTGGAGATTTTCTCCTTGCTTGGTGATCCTTCATAAATCTATATCCGTTAGTTTTGAAAAATCTACATTTGTTGGTCTTGGAAGATCCATATGTGTTCACCATAGTTTGTTTGGAGTTGTCAAAAAGGACTTGTTTAGTTTGGGTCTTTTTTGAAGTCTTGATTTGGTGAGATTTTATCTTGTTTTAGAGGGTTCAAATTTTGTTCTCGTCTCTCTTCTTTGCTTTGGGATCTATAATTATGTTTAACTAGATCTATTATATGTCTCCTTGTGAGAACTTGTCTCTTGGAAGTAGAGAGGATTTTGGGTTTGATAAGAAAGTATTTGAATGATAAGTTTTGTGAGAGACAGTTTTGTCACCTTGTAGCTCTCAAGGGCAACTATTCTCTCTCTATAGTGAATTCTTCTCTTCACATGTGAATATAGGCTAAAGTTAAATCATGTAAATCTTGATATCTTACAATTATTTATCTCTCATGAATTTACATAATTTATATTGTTCTTCTATTCGATACTCAAAACCATCAACTACTTTGCTATGATTTTATTGTCGGCGGACTTTTCGCACAACAATCTACATTTAATTTATTTGATTCATTTGGTTATTTGTGGACTTGATATATTTTCTTCAAATGTTAATAGAAGTTAGTGTAATTTAACCAACCATAAAATTAACCACAGAAATTTTAACTCCTTTTATTTATAGCTCCAAGGGTGATGGACAAAATGAAGGTCCCTTCCCTGCTCACATCACCCTTAACATGGTCTCACATAAAAACCAAATACAGATTACACACACTCCAAAAACTGAGGATCACAAAACCAAGTTCTTTTACAACTCCAAAGGAACAACCAACACAAGTGAAAGATGTATTTCTTAAGATATCCATGAGGACAACCAATACACTCGTAGATATTTCCATATTCCCGTACGTTCCAAACTATTATGTTTTCTAAATGGCGTAATTAATCACATTCTATTTTAAAAAGAAGTCCCCATTATTTCAAATCCCAACATACACAATACTTACATACACCCAATAACATTAATCTAAAATCCCAAAATTTGTAAACAACCACAACATAACCCAATTTCAATTCACGTTAAGCTTTTCCCAAAGTTCACTGGAATGTGGTTTAATACAAAATCCAAGAAGCACAAAAGTAATTTATGCCCAAAGAAGCAGAAAACATACAACTGACTGGCTATAAAATTACAATTTCAGTATAAAAGGACTTTAATAAGTTTTATATACGAAACTTTTACCAACAAGCGCTCCTCATTTTTAGAAAACATGGTGTATCTTATCAGCTTATAAGATCGATTACTTTTCTACAGTTTGCACAAAGAGAGAAAGTCAAGACTATTCACAACAATGTTATGATGACATTAACATGGCACAAACCTTTCGGAAGTCTTCATTTGCAAAATTCTCAACAAGCTTAGGACCTGATGATAAAAATCCTCTTCCTAAAGGACTGTATGTGACAATCCCAATTCCAAGTTCTCTAAATAATCACAACGGATATCAAATTAGCAATTTGGATTTCTTGTTATTCCCTAAAATGTCAATTAGCATAATAGATGCCTCACCTGCAAGTAGGAACTATTTCTTCCTCCACATCTCTTGTCCATAAAGACCATTCCAATTGTATTACTGTAATTGGATGAACTGCGTGAGCTCTTCTGATTGTTGAAGGAGAGGCCTCAGATAGACCAATGTACTTTGTTTTACCCTCTTCAACCAGTTTCTTGAGTTCTCCCATCTGGTGAAAAGATGGATTACAAGAAAAAGAATCAAAGAAAAAAGCAAGTAAATCATTTTGGAGACGTGCAGAAACATGTATATGTAAAGAGGAAGGGAAGTAGAAGCAAGATTATCATGCTACTCTACCACAGCATAATGTAGGTATATGATCAAACAATTTGGATGCATGCTTAACTTAAGAAGAGTGCACATTGATTGTAATCCAAAGAGTATGGTTTGCCTTCAGGGTAATTGATCCCCAAACACGGGCGATTTTACTTTTTTATTGGCTTAATTGATTCCAACTGTTTTAAAAAATTGCAGCATGGTGGTGAGTTGAGCCAGAACTCAACTCAAGCCTGTCCTAATTACTTGGGATCAGCTACATAAATCCAGTTCTCCAATGGATTTTATTTGATGTTATCTCCCCAAGTAAAATATAGAACAAAACCCAAATGGGTTTATGAAAACTAGATAAATCAGCAAGGGCTTGTTTGGTCATCCCAATAATGTGAATTTAGCCCCAGAATATAATTTGAATATCTACAAAAGTTAGTGTGGGGATATATTTTCAGAGTCCCAACACGTGGCCAAGGTGACGCCGACGTGTCAGCCGAGGTGCCACGTGTCTAGGTTTTGACGCCGAGGTTATCTCGGAAAGGCCGAGGTTATCTCCGAAGATATCGGAATCGGAGATAAGCGGATAAGGGACAAGAGTCCTAGAATAAGGAAGGACTTTAGCATGGATAAGGATAACACTCTTAGGGAGTTTATCTTTATCTCTTGGAGAGTCTAAGATAAGCACTGAGCAAGAGTCCATTGAAGCTAGGCTTCTAGTGGGACAATGATTGAGTTAACTATAAAAGAGAGGCACTCCCGATGGGTCTAAGGTACGCAATTTATATTCTGAATAGTGAGTTTAGCACTATTGATTATCTTTGAGAGATATACTGACTTGATCGTCGGAGTGCCCCCGGGTGGACGAACCACCACCGGAATCTTCTCTTTCTGTTATAGGTCGGCCAGGCGTCATCTATTCTGCCAGTGCTCTCCAACTGATTACTGAGTTGGGCAGTATGATCGAAAATCACTCACACAATTTGGCGCCATCTGTGGGAAAGAAAGGAGAATAGATGGCAAGTGATGGACAGAAAGAAAAGATTGGGGACGACACTCCTGTTGGGAGTGGTAGACCTATCGACCTTGACGTCGAAGGAGACAATCGCAACACAGAAACTCGTAACCAGAATCACAGCAAGAAAGACGCCGGCTAGGATGACGACGTACCAAAGAAGCCAGATCGAAGTGGGTACTGCAATGAGGATGACCTCCAGGTATGGAAGGATAGATGCCTGCGGAGGGACGAAGAGGTAAAAGAGATGGTGAACAAATTGGCAGACCTACAATTGGTCGTCAATTTTATGATGCAAAACGTCATGCAACCACCATTCCCGCTGCTGGGCACGCCGATTCCAGCGGCCAATACATAGAAGGGAGGGCAGAAACTAATCCCAGAAATTCCCCAGCACACTAGAAGCGAAAAACACTCTCACCGGCCTTCAAGAGAGGTCGGACGAGGAGAGTCAAGGAGAGAAGAATCGCGGAGGACGCATCGCGCCAAGGAGGTAGACCCCAAAGAACATCGGCATGTCCAGGGGCAGGCACTCTGCTTCGACACAACTCACGAAGAAAGATCGAAAAGGACCCACCATGAAGCTGAGAGTAGTATGCCGAAAAAACTGAAGTCAGGAGATAGTCGAGCTCCTGGGCAGAGCAAAGAAGACTTGAGAGATTACCTCAAGAGGAAGCAGCAGAATGCTGATGGTGAGGTAACTTCCCCTGATAAACCCAGAACACCATTCTCAGTGGAGTTAGACAAATTTGAGGCACCAAAGAGATTCAGTATGCCGAGATTCCAAATATACGATGGTAAGTCAGACCCCAACTTTCATGTTGGATTATACTTGAACTCGATGGCATTATATAGTGGGAACGAGCCGTTGCTCTGCAAAGTGTTCCCCTCATCTTTCGGGGAGATTGCATCAGATTGGTTTCATAAATTACTAAAGGGAAGCATCAAGACTTGGGAAGGCCGGGCCGAGATGTTTGTGGCCAGGTTCATGACAAACAAACTGCAGCCATTGAGGGTGGATGCACTAATGGCTCTGAAGATCAATAGGGATGAAGGCCTTAGGGCCTATGCAAAAAGGTACTATGAGGTGTTCAACCGAATACCAGAGTGTAATCAAGAGGTGGCGGTCGTATCTTTCAAGAACGGCCTAAAAGACAATTGTCCACTACGAAAATCTTTGGCAAAGACATTGCCAAAAAGCATGGAAGAGCTCATGGCGAGGATCGAGAAGTACGCCAGAGCCGAAGAAGATACATCGGGGACTAAGGAGGCAAAGCAAGAAAAGGGAAACAGCTCGCCGAAGCGAGGCCGAGGTAACAACAGATCCAGCAAGCAGGAAATAGAACTGAGGGCAACACAGGCAGTGACAACTGTGGTCCAAATCCCAATTCACAAAGTCTTTGATCAAATTCGGAATCAACCCTATTTCAGAACACCAGCAAAGGCACCAGGAGAATTCATAGGAAAAAACCTTGGCAGGCATTGTGCTTACCACAATGAAAACGGGCATATGACTCAGGGCTGCAGAGCCTTGAAAACACATTTGGAAGACCTGGTGAGACAAGGCCATCTGAGAGACCTTGTCGATGAGGCCAGAACAAGGGAAGAACAGGCAAGATTGCCTCAGGCGACAGCAGCTCCACCTCCCCCAACAAAGCAACGGCAAGCAAGAGGACCTCGGGTAATTAATGTAATTCACTCGAAGGTCAATGAAAACGAGATTCGGGGGGGGAGACCCAGAGGGTAAAACATCTGCAGTATGTCTACCAAGTCGGGGAAAAAAGACATCGGGCAGAGGAGTACCAAGGACCAGTAGTGTCCTTTTCTGAAGCCGACCTTGATATGGTACAGCATCCGCATAATGATGCCTTGGTAGTATCCCTCCAGGTTGGGGAATGCCAAGTAAAGTGCATCTTGATTGACCAAGGCAGCTCTTGTGACATCATGTACGTCTGATGTTATAAGGAGCTTGGCCTTCACCCAGACGATATGGAGCAATCCAATAGCCCAATGGTCGGGTTCAATGGAACGCCGACATGGCCATTGGGAACAACCAGCTTGGAGGTGCAGGCAGGCACCAGGAAGATAACAACAGAGTTCACCGTAATTGACGCACCCTCCCCTTACAACATCATTTTGGAAAGGCCATGGTTGCATGAAATGAGAGCAGTTCCCTCAACTTTGCATCAACTATTGCAGTTTCCAATAGAGTATGGGATTGAGGAGGTTAGAGGAGATCAGTTGCAGGCAAAGAATTGCTCCATGGCAGCAATGAAATCCACCTGCAACATTCGAAAACCAGAGAAGGCAGAGATCGAAGACAAGGACGTGGAGGTCCTAGAGGATGTCGGCAAGGAGCCAGCCGAAAAGAGTGAAGAAACACTAAAGAAAATCCTCGTCCAAGAGGGGGATGAAGAACGCTTCTTTCTTCTCGACTCTGGCCTAGCCGAAGAAGAAAAAAGACAGATGGAAGCTTTCTTGAGAGCAAATATTGAGGTGTTTGCTTGGACGTCTTACGAGATGCCTAGCATTGACCCCGAGGTCACTTGCCATAAACTGAATGTTGATAGGTCGGCAAAACCGGTAATCCAACGAGCAAGAAGACAGACTTTGATACACGTCGAAGCAGTGGAAGAGGAAGTAGACAGGTTTCTCAAGGCCAGGGCCATTCGAGAGATAGATTACCCGACATGGCTATCAAACACAGTAGTAGTGAAGAACAAGAATGGTAAATGGAGGGTCTACGTGGACTTTACCAGCTTGAACAAAGCCTGTCCCAAAGACAGTTTTCCTCTATCCAAGATTGACCAACTGGTAGACGCCACTTCGGGGCATGGAAGGATGACCTTCCTAAATGCCTACAGCAGATACCATCAGATAGCCATGTATCTCCCAGATGAGGAGAAGACTGCATTTATCACCCCAAAAGGTCTGTACTGCTACAGAGTGATGCCTTTTGGGTTGAAAAACGCAAGAGCAACTTACCAAAGACTGGTAACCAAGATGTTCAAACACCTGATTGGCAGAACGGTGGAAGTTTACATCGATGACATGGTCGTGAAGACCAAGGAACCTAAAGGTCATCTAGCCGACCTGAAAGCAGTCTTTGACATTCTTAATACATATCGGCTCCGACTCAATGCAGCGAAGTGTGCATTTGGAGTAGGATCTGGTAAGTTTTTAGGATACCTGGTGACTAGAAGGGGCATTGAGGCCAGCCCAGATCAGATTAAGGCCATCCTGGAATTGAAGAGCCCGACATCGGCAAAACAGGTACAAATGTTGACTGGAAGGGCCGCAGCCCTGAATAGATTCATAAGCTGAAGCTCAGATAAGTGCAAACCTTTCTTCAACTTAGTGAATAAAGCCACAGATTTTTTATGGACAGAAGAATGCGAGGCCGCCCTGGCTGACCTGAAGAAGTATTTGACCACAGCTCCAGTTCTTTCAAATCTAGAACCTAGGGAGGAGTTGTTTTTGTACTTAGCAGTCTTAGAGCACGCAGTAAGCGCAGTGATAATCCGAGAAGAAAAAGGGGAACAAAGGGCCGTTTACTATGTAAGCAAAAACCTGGCCGATGCAGAAACAAGGTATCTACCCTTAGAAAAATTGGCATTGGCTTTAGTAATGGCTTCAAAGAAACTGAACCATTACTTCTAGGCCCATAAAATTGTGGTGCTAACAGAACACCCCTTGAAATCTTTGCTACAACAAGGAGACTTGACAGGAAGAATAGCCAGATGGCAATAGCCTTGGAACAGTATGACTTGGAATACAGACCCAGAACAGCAATCAAAGGCCAAGTTTTGGCCGACTTCGTAGCCGACTTCACACCAGAATCCATCGTACATCGGACTCCGTCGAGCCGAGGTGAACGATGTCCAAGC